CAGTGGACAGCACCCATAGCTTCCAGACGCCAGCTTACAACAAGTGGCTCCACCTGGGCATTCTGACTTGCCACCTGGACAAATGTTATTTTTTCGACGTACTGGCTGTGTGGCGGGCATTTTCTTCAGCCAGGGGAACTGGATGTCCTTGGCCCCACATTGTTCAGTTTTGGTATTACACTCAGTCCCTAAAGTAAAAAAAATTACAAATTGTTCATACAAAAAATAGAATTATTAATAAATTAAAAATAGAAAGAGTTATAGTTCTTATAATCGTTACTACAGATATGCTGAACAGCTTAGTAAAATAATTTCATATTTTGCAGGGTTTTTTCTTAAAGGTAAGCTTTGGTTGAACATATTCATAATTTTAGTGATTTTCTGATTGGTTTTCATAAACCATCATGCTTAATGAAAAATATGACATGGAAAATGATAAAATAAGTCTTGCAAAATAAGTCTTGTTAAATTCTATTCTGCTTTCAGAAAATAAGATATCAATAAATATTCTTAGATTTCCTATTGAGCTAATAAAATAACTATCAAGACAATACGAAATTGGTCTCAGTGGCTTAGTTTCAACACTGAAAACACATGGTTGTTGCATCTTTTTGTTATTTGTAGTAGGCAACTCCGTCGACTGTAATTGCTTCAGCAGTCTTAACCAAGGCCTTTACACATCTATATTTTCCAAAGCCACAAAAGACTAAAATCTACTTTGTGAAACACGACCCTGGCTTCTTTACCTTGTGGACAGCAGTGAGTGCCATCTTTACAACACACTGCTTCAGGCAACGGACAGCAACCATACTGACCACTGGTCAGCTTGCAACAGGTGCTCCTAGATGGACACACAGACTGGTCATCACAGGTTATGTCAGGCTCACTGTCCTGAACTGGCACAGGCCTGTCATGGTCCACCTCTAGCATGGATGTAGACATACTTGTCATACTGGATGGGGTTTTATGGAACAAGAGGCGCAGGATGCCACGTCTGGTGCAAAGTCCGTGTGTAAGGTCACATTTTTCTCCTGAAAAGGAAAACAAAGCTTAGTTACTGGAAAACAAACACTGTACTGTCAGCTTCTAGAGGCTTCATATTTATCCAAGGGACAACTGAGCTGGTTTTCAAGGTAGGGTCACTGGACACTAATCAGTTGCTCCCTGATAAACGTGTCCGGCACCTGCAGAACTACTGAAGGTAATACCAGTGCCTTGCATTTCCTCACAGCCTTTGATGAGAATAAGAAAGTTCACATTTTACAAACTTATGCATGAGCCTTTATGATCTCCTCTCCATTTTTAGTGACATGAAATATGTTACAAAAAATCAGCTGGGCTAGTAAAAGTCAGCCGGGTTAATATCACAGGACAATTGCTAAACTAGTCCCAATTTGGCTTTAAATAATGCAAAATATTGGCCAAATCTATCATTCATGTATAAAAAACAAATACAACCTTCACCAAATCATCCAAATTAGGCTATTATTTCCTTTTTTTCTACAGTGCTAGCAGTGCTTCTACCTACCACTTGGACAGCAGTGGCGGCCATCACTACAGCAGACGGCATGTGACATAGGACAGCAGCCATAGCCACTACCATGCCTGCAGCAGGTGTTTCCACTGGGACACATTGACCTTCCGTCTGGACAGACCACAGAACCCACTGGACTTGGCTGGATTGGCTTGGCAGCTAGTTTAGGGAGCCACGGGATACTGACAGCTCCTCGGAGACAACGCTGTCTGCTTACATCACAGGTGGTGCCTGGAGTGATCATATATATATATATATATATATATATATATATATATATATATATATATAATCATCAAAAGTGTCTCTGGTTGCAGTAATACACTTCATTCATTCCAGTGATCTATTTCTCTAGATTCTGCATTTTAATTATAATACTATCTTCTGGGCATCAACCACAAACAACAATTTGACAACAATATTAAGTTATCACTAAGACAGCAACATAAAACTTTTTTGGTTCCAATAAAATCATTTCTGCATACAAATGTTTCCCCCCCCCCCCCCCACACCCAACCCAAAAAAAAAAAAGGAAGAGGAGGAAGGGGCACTGGTACAGTTATTCCTTTATAACTTACTGCTGCATGCAAAAATATCCCTCTCCTACCCTTGAGCCAGTAATACCCTACACCCCACCACCAACTCCCCCTCCCCCCATCTGCCCCACCCCACCCCACCCCACCCCACCCCAAGTACATAACCCAGGACAAACCTTCTGGGCAGCAATGCTGGTGGTCACTACAGCAGACAGCATTGGGGACTGGACAGCAGCCATACTGACCATCCATCATTTTACAACATGTCTGGTAGGAGTCACACTGCTGGGTCCCTCCAGGACAGGCCTTCCCAACTGTGACTCCACCATCCAAATCCTTGGAGACAATGTCCTTCGTTATTGAGGGGTTTACAGATCCAAGAAGTTTATTTGGACTTATATTATCTCCCATTACGATTGCAGGAGTTTTGGTGAACCAGCTCATACGGTCACTGCCAAAACTGCAGGTGCCTGTTCTGAGGTCGCATGTGTATCCTAGGAATTGGAATAACCAGCAAAATCAACAACTGATTAAGCTCCTTGGGTCACAATGAACCACTTCTAATGTAGGCAAAAACATTTCTTGGTCACAGTGACCTACTTCCCCTATGGATAACAAGATATTTCAGGGTTACAATGATCTACTTAAACTGTGGAAAAGAAGATGATTCGAGGTCTCAATGACTAATTTGCAATATGGACAAAAATATATTTCTGGGTCATAATGACCTACTTACACTGTGGATAACAAGATATTTCTAGGTCACAATGACCTACTTACCCTCAGGACAGCAGTGGATATGATCGCTGCAGCAGACAGCCTCCGGTAAAGGGCAGCAGCCATAACGGCCTGTGGCTAGCAGACAGCAGGTGTTGTCGTTAGGACAGCTCCCACCATCTGGACAGATGTTATTGGTCATTCCAGATGGTTTGAGAGCAATTTTAAGTGACCTTTTCATAACAGACATTGCTGTATTCTGTCTAACACAATCCCCAGTACTGACCTGGCAAGTATAACCTGAAAGAGGCAGAATCATTAAGAAAAGCAAAGAAACGAGGAAAACCATAACTTGCTGTGGATGACACTCAACATAGTCCAGGTGTTCCCAATGATGTGTACAGTAAATCTGATATTACATTTGTATAATATTAACCATAGCTCATTATATTATTTTCATTACATTTTTATAAAGCTGCAGAAACACATCCACTCTCACTGTGGCACTGACAGATTGAATGAACTAATGTATAATAATAACTCCGCTAACATCAAAGGCATACTAGGCCACCTTGACCTATTTACCATGTGGACAGCAATGTTTCCCATCACTACAGCAGACAGCATTTGGCTGTGGGCAGCAGCCATATTGACCATTGGCTAGTTTACAGCAGGTGTTTCCATTTGGACATTGAGACTGTCCATCTGGACATATCACTGGCCCATTAACACATTCCCCAGTACTTGTCTGACAAGTGTAACCTGAAATAATCACATTCAGAAAGAAAATCATGTAACTATATACAACACACTGTAAGATTAACTATTAGCAAATTATATTCCTGCCATGTAATCTAAAACACACGCATTGCCTCTGTTAATCAACCTGTGATTGTCAGCTTGAATGGTCTATTTTTCTAGCAGTTCTTTATACTATTTCTTTGGTTAAAACCTTGGAAATCTAGGTCACAGTGACCTACTTACCATTTGGACAACAATGAAGTCCATCACTACAACAGACAGCATTTGGCTGTGGACAACAGCCATATTGACCACTGGCTAGTTTACAGCAGGTGTTTCCATCTGGACATTGAGACTGACCATCTGGACATATCACTGACCCCACATTGTTATCCACAAGCACAGCTTTATCTGTTATCACTGAAATGGCTGCATTTTCACGCACACATTGTCCAGAACCTGTCTGACAAGTATAGCCTGAAATAGTCACATTCAGAAAAATAAATGTACAAATGAACAAGGAAAGCCATAATAAGCTTTGGATAACATTCAATATGGTCCAAGTGTCTCTCACAAGGTACCGACGGTATACAGTAATTTGGCATTATGAATAACATTGTCAGCTTGAATGAACTATTTATCTAGCAGTTCTTTATACTATTTCTTTAGTTGAAACCTTGGAAATCTTTGTCACATTGACCTACGTACATACCATTTGGACAGCAATGAATCCCATCACTACAACAGGCGGCATTTGGCACTGGACAGCAGCCATATTGGCCACTGGTCAGTTTACAGCAAGTGTTCCCATTTGGGCATTGGGACTGACCATCTGGACACATCACTGACCCAACATTCTGTGCATTTGGCCTTGCCATTGTCTTAACAAACCAGGAGACTCTCTGCTCTCCATTATGGCATGTTCCAGCCGTCAAATCACACTTTGTTCCTATTGTAAACAGATTCATTTTTAAATATATCTAAATAATCAAAAGGCAAAAATATTTAATCTCCTAATAGACACTTACATTGATCTGGTAGATGTTAAGCAGAGACTCCATCTAGCAAATCCAAGTGTCCAGTGTGAGATTTGATATTTTTGCCTTTTAAACATCACATTTTACATTCTAAAACATTGAAATGATCTTTGACATTTTGTACTAAATTTAGTCACAGCAACCAATATCAATTTCCATAGTATTATTCAAATGTTATGATGCATAAATAATGTAGTATTCAATGCCTCTTACCATCAGCAGCATTGATGAACAATGTTCTTAGTTTTTTACTAGCATGAAAATAAGTTTATGCATCTCAACATTGAAATTTCAAGTTGTTTCCCAAATTAAAATGATGCATAACTAATTAAATATCCAAAAAAAACAAAACAAATTATCTTATTATCAAATACCAAAAATAATCACATGGCCAGGAAAAAATTATAGGCCACCCTGACCTACTTACCATGTGGACAGCAATGTATTCCATCACTACAACAGACAGCGTTTGGCTGTGGACAGCAGCCATACTGACCACTGGCTAGTTTACAACAGGTGTTCCCATTTGGACATTCTGATATGCCATCAGGACATAAGACAGACTGTAATTTCAGACTGACAAATGTGGCTGGAACTGAAGTAAGCAAGGGAGTTTCAGAATTTGGAGTAACACACTTCCCAGAGGGTTCCTGACATATTTGTCCTGAAGAGAAAAACAACTAAAAATAGTTACACATACAGGTAAAAAAGTAACAATTAAATTAGTCTGAATTTTTGGTGTTTTTTACCCAAAATGATTTACTTTTCAAATTGGGAGAAAAGTATACCGCCTCCTATTTTATATCAAATTAATGGATAACATAAATATAAATTTTGATTTATGATAAAAACTCTTTTGGAACACCTGAGTGATATCTAACGTGGTCATTTCAATATATTTTGCCAACAAATTCTAAAGAAAAAAGGTTAGTATATAATTCTGACTCTATGGAATAAAAGATTCCAAATAACATGTACAGATGCTACCCATCCATTCTTTTTCTGAATGTGATTCTTTGAATTACAGATGAGAAACCAAGTGTTTCTAGCCATCTCACAGGTGATGTTAATTTCAATCTGCAACAAGATCTAAACCTAAACCACTTCAGAAAAATCTAGGCCAGACTGACCTACTATTGAAAAATATAGCTCAAAATAGCCTACTTCTGAACAATCTAGGTCAGATATCTCACCCTGTGGACAACAATGCACACCATCTCTACAGCAGACGGCATGTGGTATTGGGCAACAACCATATTCACCACTGGCCAGTTTACAACAGGTGTTACCATCTGGACACTGAGACTGGCTGTCTGGACATAGCACTGTATTTCCACCATTTCCCACTGACAAGGCTGTAGTCTTCGTTAGCCATGGAATGGCTGAGTATTGGCGCTCACATTTTCCTGAACTGGCATCACACTTGTATCCTGCAAGCAAAACCTTGTATTGTATTTTTTGCAGTTTGACCACAATTTACTAGAAACTTGCACTAACTGTGATCCAAGAGGAATTCAATATATTTCTAGGTCACATTGGCTTACTTTGGAAGAGAACAGCATTTTGATGTCACCGTGAACTACTTACCATTTGGACAGCAATGAACTCCATCACTACAACAGACAGCATGTGGTGTTGGGCAGCAGCCATATTGACCACTGGCTAGTTTACAGCAGGTGTTCCCATCTGGACATACCATTGAACCTACATTGTTATCCACAGGCACAGCTTTATCTGTTATCAATGAAATGGCTTCATTCTCACGTACACATTGTCCAGAACCCGTCTGACAAGTATAGCCTGAAATAGTCACATTCACAAAATTAAACATACAGATAAACTGGGCTAACCATTGAAAATTTGCTTTGGATGCCACTCAATATGGTTCCAGTGTATCTCACTATGTGTTCAATCTTTCCATAAGCTAATGAAATTCCTGCCATGTAATTTTAAACACATGCATTCCCTCTGTTAATCTATCTGTTATTGTCATCTTGAATGAACTATTTATCTTACAGTGCCTTTTCTTACTTCTATTCCTTTGGTTCAAAATTTAAAAAAATGGACATCTAGGTTACAGTGACCTACTTACCATGTGGACAGCAATGAACTCCATCACTACAACAGACAGCATTTGGCTGTGGACAACAGCCATATTGACCACTGGCTAGTTTACAGCAGGTGTTCCCATCTGGACATTGAGACCGCCCATCTGGACATACCACTGAACCTACATTGTTATCCACAGGCACAGCTTTATCTGTTATCAATGAAATGGCTTCATTCTCACGTACACATTGTCCAGAACCCGTCTGACAAGTATAGCCTGAAATAGTCACATTCACAAAATTAAACATACAGATAAACTGGGCTAACCATTGAAAATTTGCTTTGGATGCCACTCAATATGGTTCCAGTGTATCTCACTATGTGTTCAATCTTTCCATAAGCTAATGAAATTCCTGCCATGTAATTTTAAACACATGCATTCCCTCTGTTAATCTATCTGTTATTGTCATCTTGAATGAACTATTTATCTTACAGTGCCTTTTCTTACTTCTATTCCTTTGGTTCAAAATTTAAAAAAATGGACATCTAGGTTACAGTGACCTACTTACCATGTGGACAGCAATGAACTCCATCACTACAACAGACAGCATTTGGCTGTGGACAACAGCCATATTGACCACTGGCTAGTTTACAGCAGGTGTTCCCATCTGGACATTGAGACCGCCCATCTGGACATACCACTGAACCTACATTGTTATCCACAGGCACAGCTTTATCTGTTATCAATGAAATGGCTTCATTCTCACGTACACATTGTCCAGAACCCGTCTGACAAGTATAGCCTGAAATAGTCACATTCACAAAATTAAACATACAGATAAACTGGGCTAACCATTGAAAATTTGCTTTGGATGCCACTCAATATGGTTCCAGTGTATCTCACTATGTGTTCAATCTTTCCATAAGCTAATGAAATTCCTGCCATGTAATTTTAAACACATGCATTCCCTCTGTTAATCTATCTGTTATTGTCATCTTGAATGAACTATTTATCTTACAGTGCCTTTTCTTACTTCTATTCCTTTGGTTCAAAATTTAAAAAAATGGACATCTAGGTTACAGTGACCTACTTACCATGTGGACAGCAATGAACTCCATCACTACAACAGACAGCATTTGGCTGTGGACAACAGCCATATTGACCACTGGCTAGTTTACAGCAGGTGTTCCCATCTGGACATTGAGACCGCCCATCTGGACATACCACTGAACCTACATTGTTATCCACAGGCACAGCTTTATCTGTTATCAATGAAATGGCTTCATTCTCACGTACACATTGTCCAGAACCCGTCTGACAAGTATAGCCTGAAATAGTCACATTCACAAAATTAAACATACAGATAAACTGGGCTAACCATTGAAAATTTGCTTTGGATGCCACTCAATATGGTTCCAGTGTATCTCACTATGTGTTCAATCTTTCCATAAGCTAATGAAATTCCTGCCATGTAATTTTAAACACATGCATTCCCTCTGTTAATCTATCTGTTATTGTCATCTTGAATGAACTATTTATCTTACAGTGCCTTTTCTTACTTCTATTCCTTTGGTTCAAAATTTAAAAAAATGGACATCTAGGTTACAGTGACCTACTTACCATGTGGACAGCAATGAACTCCATCACTACAACAGACAGCATTTGGCTGTGGACAACAGCCATATTGACCACTGGCTAGTTTACAGCAGGTGTTCCCATCTGGACATTGAGACCGCCCATCTGGACATACCACTGAACCTACATTGTTATCCACAGGCACAGCTTTATCTGTTATCAATGAAATGGCTTCATTCTCACGTACACATTGTCCAGAACCCGTCTGACAAGTATAGCCTGAAATAGTCACATTCACAAAATTAAACATACAGATAAACTGGGCTAACCATTGAAAATTTGCTTTGGATGCCACTCAATATGGTTCCAGTGTATCTCACTATGTGTTCAATCTTTCCATAAGCTAATGAAATTCCTGCCATGTAATTTTAAACACATGCATTCCCTCTGTTAATCTATCTGTTATTGTCATCTTGAATGAACTATTTATCTTACAGTGCCTTTTCTTACTTCTATTCCTTTGGTTCAAAATTTAAAAAAATGGACATCTAGGTTACAGTGACCTACTTACCATGTGGACAGCAATGAACTCCATCACTACAACAGACAGCATTTGGCTGTGGACAACAGCCATATTGACCACTGGCTAGTTTACAGCAGGTGTTCCCATCTGGACATTGAGACCGCCCATCTGGACATACCACTGAACCTACATTGTTATCCACAGGCACAGCTTTATCTGTTATCAATGAAATGGCTTCATTCTCACGTACACATTGTCCAGAACCCGTCTGACAAGTATAGCCTGAAATAGTCACATTCACAAAATTAAACATACAGATAAACTGGGCTAACCATTGAAAATTTGCTTTGGATGCCACTCAATATGGTTCCAGTGTATCTCACTATGTGTTCAATCTTTCCATAAGCTAATGAAATTCCTGCCATGTAATTTTAAACACATGCATTCCCTCTGTTAATCTATCTGTTATTGTCATCTTGAATGAACTATTTATCTTACAGTGCCTTTTCTTACTTCTATTCCTTTGGTTCAAAATTTAAAAAAATGGACATCTAGGTTACAGTGACCTACTTACCATGTGGACAGCAATGAACTCCATCACTACAACAGACAGCATTTGGCTGTGGACAACAGCCATATTGACCACTGGCTAGTTTACAGCAGGTGTTCCCATCTGGACATTGAGACCGCCCATCTGGACATACCACTGAACCTACATTGTTATCCACAGGCACAGCTTTATCTGTTATCAATGAAATGGCTTCATTCTCACGTACACATTGTCCAGAACCCGTCTGACAAGTATAGCCTGAAATAGTCACATTCACAAAATTAAACATACAGATAAACTGGGCTAACCATTGAAAATTTGCTTTGGATGCCACTCAATATGGTTCCAGTGTATCTCACTATGTGTTCAATCTTTCCATAAGCTAATGAAATTCCTGCCATGTAATTTTAAACACATGCATTCCCTCTGTTAATCTATCTGTTATTGTCATCTTGAATGAACTATTTATCTTACAGTGCCTTTTCTTACTTCTATTCCTTTGGTTCAAAATTTAAAAAAATGGACATCTAGGTTACAGTGACCTACTTACCATGTGGACAGCAATGAACTCCATCACTACAACAGACAGCATTTGGCTGTGGACAACAGCCATATTGACCACTGGCTAGTTTACAGCAGGTGTTCCCATCTGGACATTGAGACCGCCCATCTGGACATACCACTGAACCTACATTGTTATCCACAGGCACAGCTTTATCTGTTATCAATGAAATGGCTTCATTCTCACGTACACATTGTCCAGAACCCGTCTGACAAGTATAGCCTGAAATAGTCACATTCACAAAATTAAACATACAGATAAACTGGGCTAACCATTGAAAATTTGCTTTGGATGCCACTCAATATGGTTCCAGTGTATCTCACTATGTGTTCAATCTTTCCATAAGCTAATGAAATTCCTGCCATGTAATTTTAAACACATGCATTCCCTCTGTTAATCTATCTGTTATTGTCATCTTGAATGAACTATTTATCTTACAGTGCCTTTTCTTACTTCTATTCCTTTGGTTCAAAATTTAAAAAAATGGACATCTAGGTTACAGTGACCTACTTACCATGTGGACAGCAATGAACTCCATCACTACAACAGACAGCATTTGGCTGTGGACAACAGCCATATTGACCACTGGCTAGTTTACAGCAGGTGTTCCCATCTGGACATTGAGACCGCCCATCTGGACATACCACTGAACCTACATTGTTATCCACAGGCACAGCTTTATCTGTTATCAATGAAATGGCTTCATTCTCACGTACACATTGTCCAGAACCCGTCTGACAAGTATAGCCTGAAATAGTCACATTCACAAAATTAAACATACAGATAAACTGGGCTAACCATTGAAAATTTGCTTTGGATGCCACTCAATATGGTTCCAGTGTATCTCACTATGTGTTCAATCTTTCCATAAGCTAATGAAATTCCTGCCATGTAATTTTAAACACATGCATTCCCTCTGTTAATCTATCTGTTATTGTCATCTTGAATGAACTATTTATCTTACAGTGCCTTTTCTTACTTCTATTCCTTTGGTTCAAAATTTAAAAAAATGGACATCTAGGTTANTAAAAATGAATGTTTACACTCAAATCAATACCACTTATGAAAGGATTACCTTAATATTCTATTGTAAAAATCTATTAACCTGTTTTTTTTTTTCACTTTAATAAAATATTGGTTAAACTAGATTTTCTAAGCAGTATTCTTAAGTCTTCACACATGAGTGTATGTATATCAGAAATATATGAGAGAGAGAGAGAGAGAGAGAGAGAGAGAGAATCTTACAAAGAACATATCAGTCCACATTGCAGTAAGGTGTGGGTCTCCCCTGGTACACAGTCCTGTACCCTCATCACACTTATGACCAGCTGGACAACAGTGCAGGGAATTCGGACAACAGACCGCCTGAAAGGGACAAGTGGTAAAACATGAACTGTTTGTGAGATATAATGGTCAATTTTAAGGGGTTACAACACACGATGCAAATTATTATGGAATTGACAGATGTGGCATAATTCTCACCATTCAGGCCTGTGGCCAGCAATTTCAAATGGGGGGTTCGTTTTCTGAAAAAGTGGACCTCTTACCATAAAACCTACTTGTACCTAAATCAAATTTTATCCAGAGTGGACCTTTTCCCAGCAAAAAGGGCGGTTCTTTAACCCCCCCCCCCCCGAACCCCCCCTGGCTATGGGCCTGCCATTTGTCTAAAATACATACATTTTCTCCTTGACAACAAACAGCATCCCCAGTCACCAGGTGGCAGCAGGTGGTTCCCAAAGGACAGCCCACATCGGTTTCTGGTGGACACGGCTGATTGCGTCCTTCATGTAAGCTGGTCTTGTGGGATTCAAAGAACAAGGTGCTAGCTGCTGCCAGCGGCAACACTGCTATGAGTAATAAATACAGCTGCTTCATCTGAAAAAAATATATATTCCAGAAATATTTGGGGAATTAACAAAGCTGCACAGTATACTAGGTACTGTTGTTTAACTTTTTCAGTTCATCTTTTATTTATTCCTCACATCAAAGACAACAGATAGGCTTGATCTTTTAAGAAGGGTTCTTAAATAAATTCTATCCAACTTTTGTGAGTTGACAACATACCAATTATTGTGTGAGCCAGTTTTTTTTTAAAATATTTATTGATGACATGGATAGAAAATTGATGCTATGAAGATGACAGTATAATGACAATACTCTGTGGTAGATAAAAGATGCACTGGGTTTATACAATGAAGGGTACAGTAAATGAGCCCTCAAATAACTTATTTTAGTGTCTTTTGTTACGGATTATCTTTGCCAAACTAAGTTTTGAGTTATAAACCAATTCATTTAACAGTATACTATACACCCCCATTAAAACCTTGTACATCACACTCATTAAGTTTAATTACACCTATATATGAAAGTGTCACCATTTTTATCCTACCTATTAGTGCAAAAAGTTCAGCCTTTTAGCTGCCTGAAGGGTCCGCTTGCAAATACCATGATAGTTATTACACAACTGGGAAGTGAGAACACTTCTTATCTCCTTATCTAAACAGTTCACCCTTATATCATCACAACAGTGCTGGTTACTGATATTGTCTGATAACATGTAGACTCCATGTTATTATATATATTTTTTTTAATGGCCATATTTTTCACAGCCCTTAAAGTACATTTTGTCATTTTAATCAATTATGTTTATGGCTCCCTTTTCCCACATTATTTTTGTTGAAAAATTATTACTTTGATCATTTATTTTCTAAATTACAACTTTTACTGTTATAACTTTTCTTTATTTTTATTATCCAAACATTTACACTCTTTACATTAAATAAGTTAACTTAAATCCTAAACAGAACAGAAAATTGCAAAAAAAAGTCATAAAACAGTTTTTAAATTATTTTTCTGAGGTAGAATTGAGGAAATGCACAGGACAAAATGTATTTAAATACTAGTTATACTGTCTGTATCACATAAGGAAGAATAAAGTTTCAATTTTAAAGGTTACTCATTGAGTTTCATCAAAAATTCAGCACTAGTAACTGAATGTAAACTACATTAAGCTTTTTATCACTCAAAGGTTGAAGGGATCAAAGACACTTACAAAACAGGGCCCGGTTGCACCAACAGGGCGTAAATTTACTCGGCTACGACTGTCGTAAACCGCAACGCCTGGCGTCCGTGCGCCAGGTTTACTCTCCCTGCTTACGCCCGTTGCACCAAGACAAAAAATGATCGTCGTAACTACGCCCGAGTAATGCTCCGTTGCGCCACTGGCCAACAATACGTGGATGGTATAATTGGGCAAATGAGGAGTTCTCAGCTGCAGTCATAATGGAATGATGACATATATAAACACAAAAGGAACATTTCAGTGACGGAGAAATTCATGAGCTACATTATTCCATTTTGATTTAGAAATAAGAACGTTAAAATACGTTAACTTTGCTGTTGCCTTGGATATATAGCAATAAAATCGTAAATATATTCCGAATCAAAATATTATTATAGTATGCTATGTATGCTATTATAGTATGCTGTTGTAAATGAGAAAAACGCGTTGGAGGCAGTACGTATTTCTATTAATGGATTTGAACACTTTCACATTTGTTATTGGAACATTTGAGTCTGAAAATAATCAAAAAAAGCCAGCATTGCTTTCTTTTTATAATTTTACTACAATTTCATGACCTTTTTTATCTATGGTTACACCGTGAGGTATCATTTAATTCAATCGAGCTTACATCTTGGAGATTGAGAAATACAAGAGACCTAATACATATTAAATGAGCCTTAAAATGTTGATATTTTAAGCTTTCGTCTCTATGTTTATATATAGTAAAATATGAATGATATAAAATGTGAATAAAAAATATGGTTAGTTATGGTTTGTCAAAAATTGTGAAAAGAATTAAAGACACCGTACTGCTGAGAGCCAAGGCGTGTCGACATGAGTGGTAAGATTTAATTTGAACACATGCATGTACATGTACATGGCTATACACATAATGTATTTAATAATCACTTACATATATATATATATATATATATATATATATATATATATATATAAGTGTATAAAATTAGTTTTTTAAAAACCAAGCTATACAGACGGAAGTTTTGTGTAAGAAACAAACAAAAAACATCCCACATAATCTACGTTAACGACGATAATTGTCATCAAACTCTCTCTGTGCCAGCCTAGCCATAGTGGAAAACGAACTAAGACCGACTTACTCCACCTAACTAGCAGGCGTAAATTTACGACTAAGTTAAGACCGACGTAAACACTACTCCAGTTTGGTGCAACTGGCTTTTCTCGGGCGTAGCATTTTGCGCCCTGTTTACGTCGGCGCAACTGCTACGCCTCACTTACGACCGGTTGGTGCAACCGGGCCCAGGTCAATAGGATGACACTGTGGTCATTGTGACAGGAAGACAATTGATAATCCAGTATTAAACCCTGGCTTCTCCATGCCTTTCTTATCAACGAGAGTGCAAGAGTACGTACTGTACCAGCATTAGTGTGCGTAGGCCTGGATGCATGCACATGTATCGTATTGTATGCGTGTGCAAATGCAGGCATTCTTGACAGAGACTGTGCGCATTGAATATTCACATATCTTTGTCTTGTATCATGATATATTATCTACTCCCACAGTTTTGTAATGGTAGCTAGATACTGGGCCTAGGCCTTATCCCAACTGGGTATAAAAAGAGACTTTTAATGAATATATATCTAAATGGGCTAACTTATTATCATGTCAAACCAGCCTTTTTGAGGTGTCATGTATAATTAAGCTGCAAGTGCCTTATATTTTTATAAAAATGCAGGTAGATAGATAGCACTGATGCTTCTACAAATGAAAAAGAACCTAGCAGTTCTACTTAAAAAAATCCTCAAGAGATGCTACGAATTGAATTACCTTTAAAAATTGAACAATTGTGACATCAATTTTAAAATCAAGTTCAATTAAGGATGACCACAGCATTCAAATAAAGATGGTGAATAATTAATAATAGTCTCACTCAGTGTAATCTGTAAGTGTAAAGTCAAGTTAAAAGTGAAATTTTGAAAAGGGGGTCAATATTATGTACATGTAAACTTTTTTTTTTTTGAAAAAAAAATTGAAAATAGTTAAGATTGAGAAATTGATCTATACACATATATATTAAAGTACAAATTTGAAAATTAGTAAAACATTACTCAGACTGAACATTTCTAAATATAGTTTGTATTAAAAAAATAACATTTCATTTATAAATTTATAAACTGACAAGATAACATATGTTTTTAGCAACATACAGTGCAGCTAGGTTATAAAGGAAGTAAATGTTATCAATATTATCTGAAAGCCTGATTAAATGTTCTGTACCGTGAGAAATGTTTGTACTTAGTCTAATATTTTTTTATATTGCATACAAAAATATGAAAATCTTCATCTGATGAACTGATGCCGAGTTGTCTCTAGTGTCTAATTTTATTTTTCAAAGCAAGGGTGTACAACCACATTCATTGGAATTTCAACAGCCTTGAGCTTGATGTATTGTTTGGATTAAAATGTTCATGATTCTTGATAGAAATTTTGATAGCTTTGAGAAAACAATTTTTAATATAAATTACTAAGATGTTTCGAATTTATTGAAAATTTGTTCTAGTAAATAACCTTTAAAAAGAAGTGCTTCACAAGATTATTATATTTATAAAATATATAACATCAGTTCAATTAAGTATTAAGTATATCAATAATAGATTGTTTTTTTGCTTTTTAAATATAACGCACAAACAAGTCACAACAGTTCTTTTTGGTGTAAGGCAAACTTTCACTTTCCCTTTCTTGCAACACATGCAGTAAGCACTTATAATCTACCTCTGTAGTGTAATAATAATAATATAATTATTAATCATAAATCACAAATAGGGAATTAAGTCGGTGGAAGTGAGAGTACTCTTTCAAGACTAATATTTTGATGCCCACAACAGCAAAAACATATCGTTAAAGCAGTATGCTTTAGCATAATTCAGGTCACAATTATATGTTTATAATTACGTTTAGTCGGCTTAAATGTAATGGTTGTCTGACACTCAAAAACGATGTTGACTTCAAGTTCACGTCTTCGTGCCATTGTTTTGTTCAATGATGAATTTATGTGAGAAATATCTACGCTTATTTGCCACATGGTTGTAATTATTGAACATACCTTGTGTTCCGAGTTGTGCCTCTTTTACTGTTGCATATTTAAACACAGTTTTGTGTCAGGTAGATAAAGTGCCCACTTGTCAAAGAAACCGGGATCAAATATCGGCTTTCGGCTTGTGATAAAATCATGTGACGATGTGTGCATTACATGGCCGCTTAGCGCATATTGGTGTACAGTGTATATATATATATATTTCTGATTACTTTCATTTTTACCCTTTTTATAGACTAACAATATATAATTATGGTGCAAATAGATGGTTCACGCTATATTTGCAAAATGTGGTACTTGTAGTTATAGTATAAGCGACAACTACATGATTCATGACCTTGACCTATTTTTGAGGGATCTTCAAATCATGTTTATGATTATACTTTTATGTGCAATTATTCCAATCTCTCTAGGATTCTGGGTGATAAGTGTCATTCTGAATACGTACAGTGGAGATGGAGGTATTGTGGTCCCTTTGCATTAGTTTTTGAAGCTAGTCTTTACTTGCAAGCCACAGGGCTCGAAGTTAACTTTTTTTCAGTACAGTGTGCTGTAGGTTGCTACAGAATGCAAACAGGCTCTTTGGTTTAGTTGCTGTTCCAGATTTTAAAAAATCCATATACAAGGTCATGCCGGTTTCACTGCATTTTTTTTTTTACAAAAAGAAATTTCAGAAAACATACTATATAATATAGAAAATCACAACCACGCGACCCTCAATGTCAAGCCCTAAACCCAGACTTTGTTACTTTCATTTTTACTTTGTAATCGGGCTTGAAGTTAAGACTGTGTTACTTTCATTTTTACTTTGTAATCGGGCTTGAAGTTAAGTCTTACTGGTAGATTGATACATTGTACTCATTGATAGTCTATGGATGTCATTGCTAATAATATCTTCCTACGCTGAGGAAGGTGTCCTAGGACTTGTGAGGGAAGAGAAACCCAGTTGACTGCTATACAAGTACAAGAATAGTTTCTGCATCGGTTTATTAATCATATAGCGATTCTACAACAATCGTTTACAAACCAAGCAAGGTGACAGCAAAGTGTGCCTCGTTTGTAAAAATGATGTATGAAAAAGCCAAAATCAGGTCTATATACATGTACCTCTGTTGAGTCCAAACGCCTCAGAAACACCAGAGTGCCATTTCATACCTTGGGCTTTATGAAAAAGCAACCATGCCCTTGGACCAGTTTAGTCATGTCCAGCTTCATATTTTCGTTCAAAATTCATATTTTCAGGGTTTTTTGAACCCATATCACCTTGGCGGTGGTTGTTTTCCATTCTGGCTCCCATATTCTTGTCTCTGTGGGGAAGAAGAAGGAAAAGTCTAGATAAATCTGGAGCTTTGGCAGGTAAATATTATTATTGTTTTAATTATTATCATTATTATTATTATTGATAGTAGTACCACCAGCTTGAGCACTGGGGGTACTCATGGTTTTAGCTCTGACCCGCCTTGTATGGCTTTCGCCAGTTCCATCGTCTCAGCTTTATGCTCAAGGCTACAAGTCCACGTTACCACTTCTCCTAGATTACAAGGGCCTGTGTCCCCATCTCTTTGATTTAGGTCACATATAATCTGAACTTGAACCCTGTAGATTTTGGGCTCTGTCTGTGCATTCGCCTAGGTATGACATTCTTCACAATGCACCATTGTAAAAATTTTTGTGTTGAATATATCACAAACCAAAGGAAGTTACTATAAAAGTCTTTGTGTAGAAGTCTGACTGAAAGTTGTGTGGAGATTTCAAATATCCCCTTGGATTTCACCTTTCTTTCAAGGTCAAATGGGGTAAAATTCTGTAATAATTAATGGGAATTTTCTATGAAAAAATCTTTTGCAAATTTTCAGAAACTACACAGACCAAAGCTTTCATATTATAGCGAGGAATTACACTTAGAGACCATTCCCACAGATATTTAGATCGATCTATCCCCCTGGGGAGTCTCGNAATACTGCATTCACACGTGCAGCATTTCTGAAGAATCTACGAGTTGGGCAAAACCACAGTTTTCAACCACACTCATCAGCAACGTTAACGTTAAAACCCAAGCTCCCTCTCCAGTAGAGGTAAATTCCTCTGTAACCACAAATAGGTAAACACGGTAACACATTAATTATATGGCTTGATAAAAAACATGGTAGTAACAGTCTGTATTTTATATACTGTACCTTACAACAGATTGTCATTTAATATAATAAATTTAAAATAATTATTTTTGTTTAATTACTATGAAGGTGGGGTAAGGCATAACAAGTTTGATGTATTCTGTATGCATGCAAATTGTATCTTATTTCATAATAAGATGGCAACGTTGTAATTTTATTGTATTTGATTAACTGTATTAGGATTGCGCAAATCAAGAAGAGGCAGACATGTGTAGATAGACTGACAAAGGAACCTTAATGCCCATTTTGAAATGCTAAGAATAAAAAATAAATATTTCTGGAGTATTTGTGGGCCCATCATATCGTATTTTTTACTTTTAAATCACTTAAACGGTTTCAGAAATATATTTTAAAGTTGATTTTCCGTAAATGCATTGAAGCATTTAAAGAATTTACCCCATGAAGATAGGCACAAGTTCCAGAAATCTACTTCACAGCGTACTATAAAAAACCTTTGCTGTCCATTATTGCTACAGTGAGAAGATACATATCAATTTCTTACAGACCGCAAAAAGGTAAACACAGTAGCAGGTTGCACATACGGCTTAATACATCACTCTACTGATCTTTTCCATTCCATCTATTCTGTATCTACAACAAAGTGTTCTTTGCGAAAACATGAAATACTCATGAAATGAAATGCGCTAAATGACCACGAGGGTAGCATGAGGCAGAGCAAGTTTGACGTGACCTGCATACACGTAGATCTTTTCTTCTGTATGATAAAAGATAAGTACTGTGATTATAATGAAGTGTTGACAATGAAGAATCTCATTTGAAAACCAAGTGGGAGAAAGCAGATGTAGGCCTATAACGACTATGCTGAAACAAGTTAATTTGGCCTAATTTAAACATTTAACAGATCTTAGGTGATAGAAATGTCAAGTAGAGACCAGTAAGATACGACAAATCATGAACGCCGATAATAAATCTGATGTAACGGGACATTGTGGAACTAACATATGATGTTGAACAATATAATGACCGGTATCGTTTGTAAATAAGTTACGGAAATAATGGCGTTCATGTGTACCTATCATGTATAAGGTTTCAGGTAAAACAAGTTATGGCAATTTGTGTTGGATAAATATATATTATCTTATCGATGAGACACTGATGACAATGTGCTGTAGATAAAGGAACGTAATAGACGAAGATGCCGGTGTCGATCAGGAGACTGAAATGTATTTTTCGCGGGATGTTGAATGGTTCAGATTCAAGGATCTTAGTTGAGTCCCAGTCGCGAAAAAAACGAGAGGCTATCAACATCAGCCGACACCAGCCACCCATGAATAGGGACGGGGGGTTGATCTACCTGACATTTACAAGAGGGTCCTGGCCGCTATACCACCTAGCGGTCAGTGAGTATGAACAACTTCTCACGTCAGTCTGATGAAGGCCTTCGACCAGGTTGGCCGTAAGCTAACGGTATGGAAGAAAAAAATTGAGTCTTGTGTTTGAGAATTTCATGTATAGATTGTCATTTAATATAATACCTTAAAGATATTAACTTTTATGTTGAACTATTAAAATAAATGACCACGATGGAGAGGTAATTAAGGTATATCATGTTTGATATATTTTGTGTGCATGTAAATAGGTTCTTATTTTTAGATAATTTAACAACGTAGTTTGAAAATACAAACGACAATGGAAGTTAGGACTGTGCAAATCAACAGCAAATCAAGAGGGGGAAGACAGATGTAGAAAGACTGACTGGGGAAATGAAATGCTTATTTTTAAATGTTAAGTATATCAGAAATATTTCTGTCGTATTTATAGGCTTGTCACATTTTGATATATATCATATTACTTTTAAATCAATGAATGGTTTCAGAAACGTGATTTTTAGCGTTTTTTCCACAAATGCAGAGTTCCCTATGACAGGTAAGACACAGTTAATCTCGAATTTGATAGAACGTAGAAACGTGATTTAACTATGTAGCGATTAAGGGTTTTATGGTGAACGTTTACCACAAAAGGAAGTTGTCTGATCCAATTTCTTCATTAAGTATGCGACGTCTTTGCTATTTCAATCATATTTGCCCTCAGCTCCTAAACACTAATTAAAATCTTCCGATGACTGCAACATATGGCAGTAAAAAACAGATTTTGGCACTAATGAATCATAACGGAGTGACTGGGGATAGGGAAAGTTATGTACGCCAGGGCAAATAAGAAACTAACTAACTAGTCTTTGTATAGCTAACGCAAAACCGTGAAACAGCTTGAACAAGCATGGAATTGATCAGAATTCTAAACAAAAAGGCCCGATTAAGAATAAAATAGAAATTTAAAAAAATCTTGAAGTCGGAAAACTTCTATACCGTTGGCTTACGACCAACATGGACGTAGGCCCTCATCAGACAGATGTGAGAAGATGTTACTCACTGACCGCTAGGGGGATCCAGGTTGGACTTTTATCTTAAACGTTTTTCGGCTGGTGTTTGATATGGTTCATTTATTATGAAATTATGAAGTTGCAGAAACTCA